AAGTCCTTTGCTTTGCCTTTTCTCTGCTTCTGACTGATAGTAAGATTTCAGTCGTTTTGTCTTCTTTCATTTCATCCAAATATTGAATTAATGACGCTGAACATTTTGTCCCATTATTTCTTTCAAAATCATTACGGCTACAATGTTTTTCAGCATGTCTTTTTGGAATTATCTACAAATACTTCAATATTATGATTTTCCTACTCTGTTTTGAATCTTAATAATTTTAATAACCGTTCAAAAAGCTATAAGATTACGTTGTTGTCAAGATATGAATCTGTACTCAAGTAAGCAACAACTGTAGCAGAATGCTTTTGATAGTGAAGATCAGTGTCCTTTAGCAGATTGAGATCTTACTTTACGACGTTCATCCATTCATGCTCATTCAATTGGAAAAGTGGGTGCGATAAATGCTGGACAAGGAAGTTCGACACAATCGCACTTCTACCATGCTCATTGCTAAAGAATGGAGAGGAATTATCAATAAATCAATGCTTTCTACGAACATCTCCACTACGAAAAGTGGATTCATTGTGATCTACAGAATACTATCAAAATCTAAATATCATGGGGACTGAACTAAGATTATTTGTCTTAGAAATGAGAATTTTTTGTATAGGTGTTTTATCATGTTTATCAGCTTTGATTTTCATCATAACTAACAGTGTAGTAGCTAGCTTCGCCAGCTAAAAATGATGGATATATTGATGGCAGTGTCCTATCAAGTCAGAATGATCAAGTCACTCAAAATATAATTGATTTGAAAAAGCTTCGAAGTATGCACACCATCGCCGTAAGCTAACTCGGCAACTCTCGAGTGATCTCATAAGATCCGAATCAACCTTCTAAATATCATTCATTTTGCAATATTGCTTGTTTACAAACTGTACTAAATCATATATCATAAGACTAACAGTCTTTTGATCACATCGAACAACAGGAAATATTCTAACTTTCCTTGAAGTACCGAATAAACAGCGTAAAAGCTATTGTCTCATTTACCACCATTATCATCACTTATGAATTCATCGAATTTTTGTATTTATGAGTTGTTTCACTTATAAAACTTTCAACATCCTTCAGAAACGTATGTTTCTCGAAATAAAATGTCGAAACAATGCAGATTCAAGTCAATAAAAACTATGAAGTATCTCATATTGCAGTAGATCTTACAAAGTTGATATATATCAGCAATATCATAAATCTTAATTTTATCGTTGATATTCAAATCATTTGAATTTTATTCATTTTCATTAATGATTTCCATAGAATCGATACTGTCATCAACAGATATATGATTTTGTGTCGATTACCTTAGATGAATGCCACTAAGAGAGGGAGAGAGAGATTGTCCGTTTGATTTAGTTGCCATTAACAGAATAAGATAAATTTACTTTTAGACACAAAGAATAGAAATTTAAAAATTGTGAAAAATTGAAAGGATAGATTCTTTATCGGTAGTATAAATCGTTCAAAAGATTTTGTTAATTTAAACACTATCCACATCGATCGTTTATATGTTGTAAATGAAGGTCGTCAAATTATAGTATCTGACAACTATTTCAACTTGCAAATGGCTCATGAAAAATGTTGCTGTCAGTTGTGGTGTCGTAGAATGAAAAGAAAGGATACATACTTTTATCTCTAGGATTATGACGAGATAAAATGACACATAATTAGAGGATATGTAATGAAGGTAACTGCAGTACATAATCGTGCAGTCTGCTCGAAGAGACTTTTTTCTAGATATTCTCTTGTAGACTCAGCAAATTTCTGACGATATCATATTCGAATACTCTCTCGAAATTATTCCATTAGATGCAATTTTTTCACAGTGCATCAAGCGGATATTTTTCCAAGCTTTCGTGAGAAAAATAACAATCGAAAAATTTTAATTCTTTAGAAAGTTGAGCATATTTTCGCTATAGGGAAACAGTAATTTTTTGAAGTGTTTTTTAAAGTCTCTTGTGAATTTCATTTAAGATAACGCGTCTAAAGTTTTCTTAATATAGACAGTGTTGTAGAGTTTGTCAAGCTTTATCAAACTGTGCGAAAACCTGAGAAGAAAGATTTTGCTGTATTATTGAATCACTGGCATCTTAAGAATTGTAACATTGTTAAGGTTAATCGGAAAATAAACCCCTTGAGTTCGCGAAAGACCACCAGTACATCATTTTGGAGATTATCATATTCGAAATTCGGACTGTTTTAAAGTCATGTATCTTGACTCTGTGTCGTCGATCACCACAGCACTGATTACAGGAGAGAAAAAATCCAAAGAATACACTAACGATGGCCTTCAATGAATTTAAACAGAAAGAAGCATAGATCATTAGGAAGTAAAACATCGTTTGGTATACTTAACAAGAAGGAGCTACATCGTCCGATTATTGATAATTGTAGTACATGTTTTATTTGTTGCATAAGCAAAGGTTTATATGGAATCGTCTATTACTGTTCTCATCGTAAAAGAGGTTTGTGTATGAAATCGAAAAGAAATTATTTTGATAAATATGGTATGAAATTTTTCGTAGGTAAATCAAACTCTTTTGCTATGTGTTTCTCTAAATATAATTATAAATAACTGGGCTCATTCTTTAGTTAGTCTGGTTTTCAAGGTTTCAAAATAGTTTTGATGTAAATATTAACGTTACATAATCAGTGTCTTGAATATGAACTCGTAAAAAATTTTTCTTTACTGGTAGACTCATGATATTTACAGAGTTAAAATCATCCTGACGATAATAAAGACCTTTTTTAAACTTATCTACATTTTATGTCTAAAGCTCAGAATCAAGCGAGTAGTTGTCGCTTGTTGAATGTTTTTATCGACATATAAAACTATTCAAACAAAATTATTAATTTAAAATTTTCCTATAAACTGTTATTGCAAGTCTTTATTATGTATTCGAAAACATGAAGACTTTGTATTATACAAAATATTGTCATAAACGACCTCTAGTTTTTTAGAAATTCATACAGTGATGAAAAGAACTTAATACAGGCAACTTTCTATGTCGTCAATTTCTCATCAAAGTCGATAACTCGAATGGTTTACTCTTTGTTTTATCAAGTTTTTCATAATGTGTTTATTAAAGTAATATTCTCAGTTTTGAAGAGATTGATTTCAATTGAAAAAAGTCGATTTTAATATGTCACAGTATATTGTGTCAGATGGCGTCACACTTTTCCTGTTAGTTAAGTCTTCTAGCTAATGATTATTTTTGTGGCGTCATCTTTAATAAATAATCAAACTCAAAATGTAAACAGCAACAAGTGATGTAACTGGTACAGATGGCTTGAGCACACTCATAACAATATAGAGAAACGATTTCGACGGAAATCTAACATTTTTCTAAGAGTTCAAAGATGTTCATGCACTGAAATATAAAATAAAAATGAAGCACAAGATCTGCGATTCACCAGCGATTTTCGAACGGTTTGAATGACGTGGATTGTATGTTACTAGAACATTATTGCTAGAATTAATGTAGAAAATCAAGATATACTGTTTTATTAATCCGTATCGGACATATCTATATACTGTTTGATTACGTTATTTTTGATAATTTTACTCATATTACTTGATTTATACGAAATCTCGGATGTTTCTTAGTTTGATATAGTTGAATAGAACATGAATTACTTTATCAGTCTATATAGTTTTTATTTCATTGACATCTTTTCGAAAAATCTGATAAACTCTAAGAAGCGCTGAATCGAAACTTTTGCACGTATATATTTTCGTTCAACCAAATTTCTTAATGATGAATATTGAATTAGATGGAAGAAACTCATCCAACCGAAACGTTCAGAAAATATTATACAGCACTGATTCGAAATTAAGGAGAAAATTGAATTTTAATGTTAAAATTTGGTCCACTTTTGTGTTTATGAAAAACCAAGTTTATATTACTTTTCGCCAAAATTCACTTACACAACTGAGCATTAATATGATCAAAATTATGTAAATCTATAGAGGCATCGATGCTCTATTGATCTATATATCAAAGAAAAAAGGTTTAAATGTATAAACAACCAAAACTTCTTTGAAAAAAAACGAAAAGCCATGTATGAAAACACTTCACAACAACATTTAACAGAAAATCACCAAAGTTTTTTAGTAAAGATAGAGGATAAGCCCAATGAAAAAAGTATGATCGGGAAAAGAAAAGTGTGGTCTATTATTCTACATAAAAATAAAAAGTTTCAGTACTTCAGTGGACAGTAAAAAAAAAGTTACCTAAGACATAGTTTGAAAATTGTTGCATTAAAAAAATTTGTGGAAGCTTTTCAATATGTATTGAATTTTCTGACCAGACTCAAAGTAAACAATGTGAAAAATATATAGTTAAAAAAAATAAGTGATGTTCTATCTGACAATATCAATACGAAAATCTTCTGAAATTTTTTGTAAATACAGTAAACTGAACAAAAATAACGTAATGAGTCTGTATCTCTCAAAAAATCACCGAAGGTTTTAGTGGAAATGAGGAATGAGCTCACTGAAATAATATTTTTTAGTAAAGAAAAGAATAGTTTATTATTCTATATAAAAATAAGAAATATCAGTTTCTCAATAAATCGTGGTCACCCAAAAAAAAATACCTGAGACATGTTCTGAAATTTGTTGCATGAAAACAAAACCTATTTTGAGCGCTTTTCGAAATGTATCAAATTCTTCGACAAAGTTCAAATAGAATAAAAACAATATAGACCAATAGAGTAATTCATGCTCTATTCAACTATATCAAAATAAGAAACATCCGAGATTTTGTATAAATAAAACACAGTGAGCAAAACTATGCAAAATAACGTAATTAAGCTGTATATTCTTTCTAAAATCTAAGTATTCAAAAAATTATAGCATAAAAATGAATCTATTGCTTTTAAAAGATTATATGAAGAAAATAAAAATATAAATGATTGAAGTCACATAAAATATGCGTAGTATTGAGAAATATATGAGAATATGATATTGCAAAATAAAATAAAATAATTTAAAGATGTGTTGTTAAGTCATGCGCATCATATTTTATTTTCATTATTCCACCAGCACTTGTATTTGGTTCTTGTAAAGCATACCAAGCTATACTAGTATTTTCCGGATCAAGATTTGATAAATCAATTTCAATCTATAAACATTACAAAGATATTCCTTCTAAAATAAAAAATTGATTCACATCTACCTCTCCCATACGTGTTTTTTCGTTTGCAAATAAAGGTGAATTATTTTTAATATCTATATAAAGATGTTGTCGACGTATTTCGACTAATGATGCTGACCATTCAAATCTATATAGAATAAAACCTATTGAATATTAAATGAAAAAAAAAGTTTTCATTTTTCTTATACACGTCATCATAAACTGGATTGATTGTATCATGAATAGATTTTGTTTTCTTTACATCTTTCTTAAAATCGGGCATTAAATGAACACGTACATATGGATCCGGTAAATTAGAACGATGAACATTAATCAGATTTCTGGAAGAATAAAAACACATAAAAAAATCATAAATAAAATTAATATTACTAACTTGCATGCATGTATGGTTACGGATAAAGATTTTCTACTAGCAGCATAGGAAATACCGAGCTTTATCATACCATATGGTGTTGACCTTGATATGAGAATTAAGAATGAATAGAATAGAAAAAAATTTCAGTCTATTAATTACTTAAGATCAGGATCATCAGAAATTAAACGAGTTTTGCTGTTGGATGATGTGATTGATTTTGATTCTGGATTCAAAACAGATGAAACAAGCTATGAACACAAACAAACAAGAGATTGTTATTGTTTAGTCCTTATAATTAGATTTAAATTGAATACAAAAAAAATTTCATCTTAATCCGAAATAAATTTTTAAAAAGACTTTCTAATTTGAGAAACAAATATAAGAAAATATTGATCAATATCGAACATCTCGAAAATTGAAGATGTGAAACATAACGAGATATAATCTTTTCTCTCGTTGAGATAGTTTTTTGCTTGTAGTCTCATTTTCTGCATAATCAATGTCCTAGATTTTGGAATGGACAACTCTTTTGAACTGATCTTTTTGCTCTACATAGATTCATCCGAGAAGAATTTGAGAAATCCACGAGAAATTAAATTTATCCCATTCTGCTTTTATGTTTTTCAAGCTACTATGACTGTTATATTTTTTGTACTTTAGTCCTTTTAGGACAGCTGCCATGGTTGAATAGCTGCGTTGACCGACACATAATCACAAGGTATTGTATTTAAACCTTAGTGTCACCATATATAGAATAACCATGGACAAGTCACTAACGGCTATATGTTTTGGGTCACTCGCCCAATAGCATACTAACTACCTTGTAACATGTCTGCTCTGGAGATTAACATGTGGTTATTTAGTTTGTATGGGAAGCTCCAGCATTTGAGCATAAAGAACTCTGCATCAGACTGATCTTCTGTCCAGAGTTACAACCAGTATTAGTTGTAGGGAAGATATCGAGCTACTGAATCTGCCGCTCAGCAACACCCAATACCATAAGGTAGTCGAATGGTAGGGATATTCTTCCTTCCCTTTAGGTTCTTCACTCTATCTAGTCCTTTTAGTTCGTTTCGTTCCTTTAGATCTTGTGGATGTGCATGTGTGTAGATGGACGTGTTTCTTTCACCTACACCAATACGCACATTCAAAAGGATGAAAGTGACTCAAAGGACTAAAATGACCAAAATATCCTTACAGCTTAAAAAGACGTGTAAATATATAAGTAAAATGAAATAAATTTGATTTTCCATGGATCTATAGAGAATTTTGTGAACTTTTCGAATGAAAATATTTTCATTTGAAAAGCTACATATATATGAAGGCAATAGTTCATGGATTAATTCATGAGCCTAAGCTGGATAGATGCATCATTCCTAAGATAACGAATTTAGAAATCTGTTACATGATAATTTGAGCTTTCTGTCAAATTTAATAATTCATTTTCCTTGAGATTATCAAAATATCTTCAAAGATTCATTTGTTTACTTGTTGTTGAACATCTGTAGAATGACGTTTAGGTGAAGCTCCAGTTAATGAGTCTTTGGTAATATCTTGGTCTGTATTTGTTGCTGATAATTGTGATAGCGATCTTGGACGTCCGGGAGATAAAATCTAAAGTAAAATAATACAAAAAATATCGAATAGTTAGTTTATTGTCAATATTAACTTACATGAAGAGATAAATGAAGAACTATTGAAACATTGTCCAAAGGTTCAGATACACCTTTCAATGGAAATGTTTGTGAATCAATGCTCATCGAATCCGTATCGAATATTTGTTTGATAGGCAATTGAAAAATGCCGATTATTTCATTGTTTGAACGTGCATCACATACTTCAATAATTAATTGTTGTTGAATTGGATTTGAACATAATATATGTGACACATGTTCAAATGAAGGATTTGTTTGACTATCAAATGTTTGAGTTTTACGTTCAATTGAATCAACTTTAATTCGACAAAATGGATTTGGTTCCCGATGAGTTCTTTTTGAACTCTAAAAATAAAAATAGATTACTAATAATAATCAAAAATGATTATTTATTCATACAGGAAGATTAATACATCGATCAATAAAAATAACAAGAAGTGCTGTAGATAATTTGTCTTGTTGCATAATTTGACTATTATTTTTTTCAATCTAAATTCAAAAAAAACAAATTAACAATTTAAGACGAAAAAAATGTATTTATTATTTACATTTTCAAGAGCAGATTTTTGTGTACTTAAAGAAAAATATTGAAGAGAAACATTTAATGAACCACGTTTTACATCTTGTAAGGTTAACCACTAAAAATAATAGAGTTAAATGATTACAAAAAACATGTAACTAATTTTCATTTACTGTATTGACAGCTTCTTTACCAACCAATGTATTTATTGGATATTGAGCTCTATAAAAAAAAAGGATTAACAGATAAAATTATACTATTTTAAAAAGTAATGTAAAATATTTGTGTTAGGTATTTATGGTGACTATAATGTCTTATTATAATAATAATGCCATATAGTGAGAGAGCTTCTATTGGGCTAACAAAGTATGAAAAGTTTCATTTCGTTACGTAGAGATTTATCTTTAACTATATCATATTATCATTTCATCTCGACATTGTTTTCATTATAATACTATTGAATTATATACTGACAAATAAAGGAGATCGCTGGATAAGATCGTAAATTTACCATCACTTTAGGTCTAACTTTCAATAGACTAAAAAGACAGCATGAAATTTTGCATATTCCTATCTATGGATTTTGTTTTTGGCTGAATCCAAAAAGAAATATTGATGAACAAAATCCTCTTATGATGTCTATCACTTTGTCACATTTCGAACAATAACTATGGTATCTATAACTTTTCTATTATAAACCCAATATGAAAACTAATAGTATAGGTCGATGCAATTTTTCGTACTCTACAAATTAACATAGTGATCATAATATCATTAACTTCTGTCTTTGATTATGTAGGATCATACAAGTGTAATATCATACTTGTCTGATCCTGAATAAACTAATCGATATCCATGATCGCTATGTCATTTTTTAATGATACGGCGACCACCGAGATCTACACTAATAGTTTTCATATTGAGTTTATTATAGAAAAATAAAGAATATTAGAGTTACTATCGGAAACGTCCAAAAGTAATAGATACCCTTAGACTATGTAGTCGTCGAAAATTTCTTTTTTACATTTAACAAAAATAAATAAATACATAGAAATGTGCAGAATTTTATCCTCTCTCTTTCTATTTTAGTGAAAGTTAGATCTAAGATGATAGCAGATTTACGATCTTATCCGGTGATACCCTTTTAGGATAATTCAAATGTTTATTTTTCTTCTCGATGATAACCACTACTGTAAAACTGAAAGTCATTTCGAATAATTAAAAGAATACTTTAACATGATGAAAATTTCATAAAACTATTCAAGTTAGACAGACGATACATGGTTGAGGAAAAAAGTTTTCATGAGAATTTTCCACAATACCATATTCCGGTACATTCTGATCTCCATCAAACTTCGTCCGATCCGGCTGAAATTTTTTTTTGAAGATACCTCAGACTATATCTCAGAAGCAGTTCTGAGCATTTTTGAAAATCTGGTTTTCTTTTTTTTATTTATGAGAAAAATGCGGAAAGGTTCGGAACCAACACAGAGGTGTTGACTTTTAAAATCCTATAAACCTGAATAAGAAAGCCAAAAACTGCTGATTGTATCTCTGGAGGATACTTTCAAGTATATGTGGTAAAAGTTTCAGTCCGATTGGATAAAGTTAAAAGGAGTTCGTAAACAGCCAAGATTAAAAAAACTGGTGTTTTGCATCATACTAGGTAAAAGAAAAAAATTTCTTAAATTTAGTGACTCTGTAACAGCAAGCTGTTTAGAGTCGAATGATGTCTCTAATTGTATATGGCACTCTAGACTATCATATCTTATACCCAGCTCGAAATCGAGTTGTTAGTCAAAAAAAGTGGAAGGCAGGAATACCCTTAAATAGTTGGCTATTCTGTACCCATCATTCTACTGCGATCTACCGATAGTTGTTCTGTGACTGGAAATCTACTGTCGGATACCGCCGATTCTTATGAGTACTGCTGTATATCGATGTTAATGCAAAAAAGCGTACGACATAGGATATATAATTATAATTTACCTTCCAAGAAAATCATCTTTACCAGGATCTTCATCATACATTTCAAATTCTACTGCATCACTTTCATATTGTTCAATAACAAATTCAAATACCTTACATTCAAAATAAAATATTCCAATATCATTCAAAAATCGTTCATACATACTTCATTCCATTGTGGTGATGTTGTGTTATTAATCGTTTTTGTTTTATATTCCACATTACCTTGAGCTAAAATATTTAAAAAAACTCAATCTTACAGAAAATTCTGAATCAACTAAATAATACCTTTAACTTTAACAAATGGATCACTTTTTCCTTTACCAAGAAGGTTTATATCAGCTTGGACAATATCTTTTGCTTTTATAACAATAACTCGAATAACACCCTAATCAAAAAAACAAAAATACGGCGTTCATCTTAAATTTATTAATAAATAATTACTTGAGGATTCGACCATCGTAAATATCCAATTTGCAGATCTGAAACCAAAGGAAAAACTTGTCGATTAGGTAAAACCATCATTGATGCAAGAATATCATTTATTTGAACAAGCATTAGATCACTATTAAAAATAACAAATATTTATTTCTCATCTTGATTTTCTTTTTAAATTTATTCTTACTTAAGAGCAGGTATATCTATCAATGTTCCAGCATCCGTTAATTTAAAATCAAGACTCTATAAATATTTGAACATGTAAATGAAAAGAAAATTTTCTATTCATACTGGATTTCGAAGAAAAAAATAAGTAACAGCACCAACTAATGGTATTGTATTAATTAATGGACTTAATATAATTCGTAAATGACCAACAAATTGTATATCTTTAATTCCACATACAATCCCTTTTACTTTAACTTTAACATGTGCATCACCAGCATAACTAAATGAATAGTTTTATAAAACATTAAAAAATAATAATAATAATTAAATATGAACATACAAAACTTCAATATCCATCATTACTTGATCTCGAACATTATCCGTATAAACTTTTACGCCTCCAATTCTTGGTGGCTAAATAAAAAACACTATTATAAAAATAAATAATAGAATATTTGATAACGTACAATTTCGCCAAGGTCAAGTTTTTGAAAAGAAAAATCTGATAAAGCCGCTGACGTTCCACGTATCATTGGAATCATGACATCATGAAAAACTGCTTTATCAAGATATTTATTTGCATATGGCCATACTTGTTTTATTATTCGATTTAACCATTCAGCTCGTTCAACATCGGGAAAGAAAACCTATAATTAAAAGTATTCATATTTAAAAGAATAATGATTTTCTTTTTTGTTTTCGATATACCCATGATGGTAACTCATCTAAACGAGCTCTTATATATTGTTCTTCATTATTATTCATTTCATTAAGCATTTTATGTCTTTCTTTAAATTGCGCTCGTTGACGTTTACGAAATAAATATATAAATACAATAAGTAATATCCATGAAACACTAAATTGAAAATAACCTGAAATGAAAAAGACTATATCAATTTATCTTATTTTAATATAGAATATTTTGCATTGAAATCAAATTTCTATGAATTATATTCTCTGATATTTATTTTATAAACTAATGCATTAATATATCCGTGAAATTTATAATCAATCAGAGAAAGAAAAAGAGTTGACAAGTTCATTTGATGCTTGTTCTCGAAAATTTTTTTTCTTTTTTTGTAGTGTTAGAATTAAGTCTGATCCTGATCATATTCCAAAGGATTAGTTTTGCAACAGATTGTTATCGATTTTTCAATTTATAATGATAGTCTAGTACGGAAATGGTAGAATTTTTTTTTTATCATTTCTTTAGAAATACACGCGTAAGTTACACTTGTAATCGCGAGCTGTCATAAGACTAAATGTTGAAGTATCTTCAAACTCCGATCTTCATATGTTCCGAATCAAAAAAATGTCTCTTTGAAAAATTGCAAACAAATCTTATCTATCTTCCTTTTTTAATAAATTCTAACAAAGATTTCTATCAGATGATAAAAATTTTAGAAGAATTCATATTCAATATATTCATATTCTTCTATCTTTCTTTCTCCTATATCTATTGAGAAAAAAAGAAAACGATGTTTTTTTTAAAAACCTTGAAGGCATTTCACATTTTGATTTGCAGTAACAATCCTTTGTTAGTACGCACCATAGAAAAGAAATCAAAAATTATTCTTTCTGGTCAATAAAGAGCTCATCACTTTGTCCTCACGAGTGAACGTTTCTAAGTATCAAATCGCTTTTGAGTTGAAACTAAATGCATCATGTCCCTCGTCAGTAAACAATATCCATTTGTTAGTTTTCAGGATTTTTAGTGACTACAGACAATTAGATTTTTGAACTAACATTACCACATAACCTACAGAAGATTCCTAAAAATTCTAGTTAAATGAGTGGAAGAGTCAATAACTGATAAAATTGATCCTCTACAAAAATATGGTTTCTTTCATATCAAACTCTCACTCAAAGCGTACCAAAGTGATTGATTCGTAGTAGAATTAATCCTATAACACTTGTTTGTGCTGTGTCCCAACCGATTGAAATAGTCAATGGCTGTAATAATATTATAGTGGTCAGTATTTTTTACATACATGTTTTTATACTACTCTGTGTAGCGCTATTCAATCATATAAAACTTAGTTCAGTCGATGATAACATTCTGTGATATTAACACACGATTTGAATGAAAAATCTGGACAATACTCGAAATACGGGTAGGCATACCACAGCAATGTACTCCACGTATGGTTATATCAGGCAATGTTTTTTCCGTGATATTTTTATACCATTTTGACGCTGTTGAAAAGCGTTATCGAATCATGTAAATACTAATTTAGTCGTATTTGCATTGGTAGATAAAAAGAGCTGGTTATCTTCAACAACCATTGATTATTTCAATGGACTGGTACACAGTGAAAACGAATGTTATTGGATTAATTTTAGTACAAATCACTTTGGGACATCTTGAATGAGAGCTTGACAGGATGAAATAAATTATATTTCTGTAGAGAATCGATTTTATCCGTTATCGATTCTTCTCTTTTGTGTGTGTGTTTTTTTTATTTAATAGAAGTAAACAACGAAGATACTCTATTGACTAACCGTTGGGATTTGTTTTTTCTTTTATTAGAATACTAGCATACTCATGAAGTATATCATTCGAAAAACAAAACAATCGTTCTAATATTTTGCAAATGAGAGCATCATATTAAAAAACAACTACATTTAATAATGAAATGACAATCATTTTTTTCTTACCAAATATCCAGACAATAAGAACAAGTCCAACAATTTCAAGATATCTTTTTATCATAGAAATCAAATCACCTTCGGTTGATCCTAAGCCTATTTTAGCGTGCGGTATTTGTATTTTACGAAAACTGTTTGAATCATTTGAATTTGATAATTGTTCAGCAGAATTTGACAATTGTTCAGCAGAATTTGATAATTTTTCAGCAGAATTTGATAATTTTTCAGCAGAATTTGATAATTTTTCAGCAGAATTTGATAATTTTTTATCAGTATTTTTCTGTAATGTAGTACCAGTCAATTTATTTGCTAAATTCGATACGAAGTTCTCCATAATACTCGATATCTAAAGTTGATTAAAAATATATAATCAAAATAAGAAGTAAAATTTAAAATAAATTTTCATTTGACGCATGAAACCAACAATCTTAGCATATGATTGTCTCTATAATAGAATTTAATTTTGGATCAGCCTAAAAGAATCATATCTCATTCAAAATATCTTCACAAACCTGTTGAACTACTTCGACAATCAATATTTATTCAAATCGATTGACTTTTATCCTAAATTCCATCATAAAAAGTGTACATGTAACTTTTTATCTACTAGTCATAATAATATTAGTTCCATTTGACTAACAGAAATTTACGATCAATTCGAATAGTAAAATGAATTTACCTCAAATTAAAACGAAGAAAAAATCAATACAAAGAAAGAAGTAAAATATGTACGTCAACATTACAGAATGCTTTCCTTTCGTTCTACAAAAAGAAACGTATCAATGGAAGAAGAAAGGCGCCTGTCGAGTTGCATGCATTATTATATTATATTGTTTCTATAAATATGTAAGGGTCTACTCGGTAATGGTAATAGGGTTTATTACAGAAAAGAATAGAAAAAAAATATTGCAGAAAGAAAAAAAAAAGAATATTTTGCTTTGACCTCTTCATGACTACGCCGTAATTACTTTCTTTTTTTGGAATTCATGTGTTTCTTCTCGGTGTTCTTTCTATGATATACGATGATTCTGCTTCGATTACTAAAGAAATAGATTACAGATCAAGGATAGTGAAAAGATGATTCTTTTTTTTTTGTTGAAGATCGTCACTGTGCATTACTAATTTAGTAAAAGTATACAAAAAAAAAGGAACATTCTGAAATTGAAATTAATTTAAAGAAAAAAATATATATATTTAATTTAAACTTCAGCTAATCTTTATTACTTTTATGACACTTCAACATCGATGAAGCAGAGTACTGGTTAGCAAATAATATGTTGATAATATAGATAGTTTACATGAATAACTAAGATATGCTTGAGAAATATATACGAGAAATGTTTATTATTTATTTATCTTTCTTTAGTGACGAACAGATACGCTTATGGGTAGACCAACATAATCGTTGACATGATTCGTCGCAATAATATATCTAAAAGAAAAGAATAATAAAATACATTTGTAAAAATGACTTCTTCTAGCTTAAAATACCAACCGATTTGCATGCAGTGCAACGACGAGTAGCATTCAGTTGACCACAAGCGTCACATCGATTAGGTGCTTCATCTTCAAAAGCACGTCCATTAAGAGTTGTAGTTAAGACAGATAGAGCGGATGGATTTTGACCCTAAAAATTAAGAAATTATTCATAATCATCGAAATTTAATGAGCAGCTATCATAATCGAATAGACAGGTATTAAGTTTATCTGCTGTGCTATTTTTATATACAACAGAAAATAATACGTCGTCCTTTATCGATAAATACATTATATGATGGAGAAAAACAAAACATAATATATGCACGACCTTCATTCTCGTTGGATAAAATACGAAAAAAAATATTATACGAAAATATTTTCATGAAACTTACTAATGGAATTGGAGCGATAAGTCTGACTAGTTGCTGAAGCAGTGGACATTGTTTATAAGGAAAATTACGAATAGTTTCTCGAATAAACTTTTCTTCATACATTCGAAAATTATTATTTTCATTGCCATGTACAAATCTATAAAATAAAAATTGATCAAAAACATAAAATCAAATATAATTTTTTTTCCTCACTTTTTACGTAATTCATTACAAGTTTTTTCAATATCATCTGTATCTTTCTCTAATAAAACATCAATTAATGTTTTTATATAATGTGATTTTATTGCAAGTGTATCATTTGGTTCATTTGTATGAAATGCATCTAATGATCGTTCAATTATTAATGAAAGTGTATTTGATATTCGTTTGAGATTTGATTTTGGTTGATATAATTCCGAATATTTACAAATAATATTGAGCAACTAAGTCATAGAAATAAATACAGAAATTTTTTTTTTTATAAATTATATCGAAGTTACAATTTCGACAAGATATTTTATTGAATTTACTCTTAATATAATAATCAATAAATAATTTATTGACTATCCTTCTGATACAATCTATGATCGAAACTACAATTTTCTTTAATAAGATTCAGTCCCGTTTCATCGACTTATTAAAACCAATTAGAGAAGTTTCTCGATTGGTCGACAAATTAAGGTACAACTAATAGAGAACATCAAGAACCTCTACTTGTTTATTTATATTTAAGCTAGACATATGACAAATAGCAGTATACAGTAGATACCAAAATTATTTAACAAGGTTTATTTTCAATTTTTTTCCGCTACTGTAAGTTCAAGAAAGAATTCAAATAGAACAAATGGTTTCCAAAGACAGGAACTATAGGAAACCAAAACCTAGAACGAACAAATATAATTTTATTTCGATTACATAAAATGATAGAGCAAACAACTCCCTATAAAATGAGATATCTATGAGTTCTTTACGATATTTTTTAGCTGAGATACAACAATCTTACGGATGTCCTTGAAGTCGGTTTTTTTACTAATAATATCCTATAGAAAAGCAATTTTTTGACCTTCAATAAAATTACTGTATCTTGGCTAAAAGACGTTACAGAGAACTTAGTGACGTCTCATTTTATAGAGAATAGTTGACTCTATCGTTCTATATAGTATAAGCAAAATGATATTTACGCGTTCTAGGTTTTGATTTTCTGGAATTCTTATCTTTGTGAATCTGATAATTATTTTTATCTATTTATATTCTCTTTCAGAAATCATTTTCTCTATTTGGATTCGTTCTAGTGCTAATGGTATCGGAAAAAAATTGAAAATAAACTTTGTTGATCGAATAAATAACAGACAGAGAAACATAGTAATATAAAAAATTGATTAGAATGTACTTTCAATATTCTTATTAACACCAGAATCCATCTAAATTTATTTCTTAATTGTTTTACTGATCTTTGTAATAGATAAAGAAAGAAACAAATCTCTGAATTATCTTCTATAGAGAACTAATAGCGGTTCACTTCTATAGTACTTTATCACTTTTTAAAGGAAATGAATATCCATTATATGTTTAATAAGCTGCGTCTTAAAATGTCAACCAAATGATTAATTATTACATTACTGTCTGTGAAAAGAAGAAAAAAATTGTCGACAAAATGGGACAATGAAGGACGTGTCGGTGAAAGCAGATGGCATCATGTGCAAAAAAAAAATGTTTTGTAAGACAGTATGAGATTGGTTTCTTAGATGATAAATGGCACCATATTATGATAAAACTTATCTTAACCAAACTTAATCATCTCTGATATCGTTAGTTTTAACATGTATGTTAATAATGTCTAGATTATTCTTAGAAGCTATGCGAAAATCGCAAAAATAGAGGCGACCCATTGTCAAAATAATGAGATTCAAATTAGAAAATTTATTCTAATTATGTACATAAGAAATTTATATATTCTAAAAGTGTTGGAAGTCTTCTATGACTCTATGCATTTATTTGTTAACTTGAGCCTACTAGTTGAAAAATAAATCAATTACAATGAAGGCACCCTTATTATCAGATTTCCATGAACTGAATTTTGTCACGACTTTGCCAATTAGTTTTTTAAATTTATCATCGCTACAGAAATAGTTCTCTAAAAACTCTGATTAGATATTCTGAGAGAGCTTGAAATTCTCTATCATCCTGTATATTTCTCGATTGTCTTAAAGACAATTGTAAGTTTTTCGATGATTTTTAACTACAGAAAAGCTCTGTTGTCAAAACCTTATAGTCATTTTTTATTATTTGAATAATATTTCCATTATATACAGAAGATATCTTCAATTGACATGAATCGAAATTCATTATATATTTTGTCCTTTTCTCTAGTTATTCTTACTTTAGAAATGAATTTTAATATATTTTATTATTCATTATGATAGTGCTTGAAATATTCTATCAAACTATATATTTCTCTCTCGTCTTGTATTTAAGTTCTAATGAATAATATAAGTATTAGTTAAATACATTGATTGAGAAAACTTTCAAAAATCTGCTTTTTCTTTTACCACTTATCCATTTATTTCAAGTTTAGTAATAGATTTTTAAAAATATAAATGCATATGCTAATAGAGTTTATAATTTTCTATCATTGTAAACTATTGAAATAAAAATAAAACAATAGGATAGTTTAAATATTGAGACTTTTAGACTTTATTAACGGGTGTACCGACGTAATGCTAACTTTATTCATTAGAACATAAATATAAGATATGGCAAAACTACACAAGATAAAAGAGAATTTCAAGCTATATCAGAATCCATAAAAATTTATTCTCATAAGAGTATTAAACTTGAACAAGGTATCAAAAATATTCAGATTTTTTAGTATTTGTCAAGTGAAGAATGAATACAATGTACTCAACTTTTTGCCAAAAACAAAGGCAAGACAACAAAGAAATAAGCATGTTGATACAAAACTTCCAGCATTCTCAGAATATATAAATATTTTTTTTGAAATATATTTTTATAGTGATAAAATATTTAAAACAATCTTTTTTCAGACGTATATATACGAAGTAGCGAGATCGTTTCATTTATTTGAAACTTCAATCATACAATAAATTTTTATCTATTACCACTACTCTAGCTTTCATTACATTGTAAATTCATCTGTATTATTTCTTACTACATAAGAGATGAATTGAAAGTTTCTAGAAAAAATATTTGACTAATTTTCACGCATTCAAATACATTGATGACTAGTAGTGTATTAGGATGAAGATTTTGTGCTCTTTCAGAATATATACATAGAATTTTTCTATCACTATTGAGCTATAAGTGAATCTTCAAAATGCTCAAAAATTTTTTTTTTTTATTGAAGAAAAACTTCAAATACAGCTTGTTCCAACATACCGCAAAATTTTATCGAAAATATTGGACGATATAGAAAATTCTGATTTTAATAATTTTTTTTTATCTATAGATACTACATAGTGTTCTAATAGAAACCTCAACAGCACTTAGGTTCTCATTGAGATTTGACTAAGTTATCGAATTTTGATCTGAAACTTTGCACATATAGAGAACTCAACTAGATTAGCTTCCATAAGAAAAATTCAGAGGTTTTGAACAAAGTTTCTTCGAGATATGAGACTTTCAAAAAATGCATGTTGTATACGTTATCCATGGAAAAGAGACTCTATCTTGAAAGTCTCATATATCGAAGAAACTTTGTTTAAAACTTCAGAATTTTTTTATGGAAGCTAGTCTAATTGAGTTCTCTATGTTCACAAAGTTTCAGATCAAAATTAGAAAAGATGAATTCTCCGAAAATCTGGAATCTCCGGAAGATAGAGATATTAATAATTTCATAGCTTAGTTAAAGCTCAATAGGAACCCAAATCCTTTTAATGTTTGTATTAGAACATTATGTAGTCTCTGTAGGCAAAATAAATCATTGAAATTGAAAGGCGGAAGTTGAAGACGTTCTCTCACCAGCCATTTTGTAGAGTAGAGATCACCCTTGAATATTATATATAGTTATAGAACTTTTTTGAATCTACAGGCAGCTAACTTATCTTCAGAAAAATAAAATTTTTTTGAGTCCTGTCAAAAGTTACAAATTATTTATTGATTAATATATTAAAAAATAATTTCAACGATTCGTATTATTTTAAAATAACATATACATACATGAACAGGATTGAAATTAATTGTAATAAGTAAACGTTGAAATCCTTGCACGCAAGACTCCGGTAATTTTCCTTCTGTTTCTTGGCCTGGAAATAAGTTATCATATTTCCTTTTACTTAGATTCCATTAATTTATTCATGCAAAAAAAAACACAATAGAAACTCAATATAAAAACTGACCTTGTGGAATTGTATAATACTTCAAATCTTCAAGTGTTACATAATTATTGATTGTATCAACACATTGTTTTTGTCCAGTAAATGCAGCTAATTGAGCAGCTGTTCGACCAATACGATTTGTTTGATGAGTTTTAGCACCTGCTTCAAGAAGAATACGAACAACTTCACTATTACCTTGAAACATAAATAATATAAATAACAAATTTAAAAACAAAAAAAGAAAATTTTATATTCATACCTGAAAGAGCACCAAACATAAGAGCCGTATAACCTTGATCATGTTCATGATCATTAACATCGGCATCATGTGCTAATAGAAGAGAACATATATTGGCATGTCCCTTAAATGCTGCATGTTGTAATGGTGTCATTCCATGCTATATAAAATACGAAAAATTCTTTTGTTTTTGTTTTTTAATTAAATAAATTAAATATATAAACCTCATCATGAACATCAACAGGAACATGATTCTTGAGTACACGTTCAACATCCTCAAAGCTACCTGAATAAATAAATAAATAAATTTAAAAAAAAATTCTCTTTTTTTTGGTAAAAATAAAACAAAAGAACTTCTAACCTTCAGTAGCATAATCAATAATAGTTTTTTCACCAGTATCAAGTGCCATATTATGAACTAAGAATGGAATCTTTCTTCAGATAGACATAATATTAATCCTGAAATGAAAAAAATCAGCTAATAAAAAGATACATTGTCAAAATAGAAGATAATCCAAAAGATGTCACAAGTAGACAATTATAAGATTAAATAATGCTGTAAAATTGACTTTCAGTTCCAACATAGATTCAATCATAGATAGGAGAATTTTTAGATTAAATCTAAATTTTGTGTTACAACAAAAAAAGTTTGTCAGTACTTTCTTATTATTCTTAAATCAATTGAAAAAAAAATACAACTATTCAATTATTTCTCCGTAACAAATATTCAAGGTTATTGTTGTGATGATTAAATATAAATAAAGTTTCAAAATAATCATTAAATTTCTTTTTTCCTATTCGCTAATAGATGTCGAATTGAGCGCTTCGGTTATTTCCAGATTTTGTATATATTCTATTAAAAAGAGAAGTGAATTATTATATGTCGACACAGTCAAAATTAAAATATCTTCATAATAGTTTTGTTTAACCCTAACATAAGCACCTTTAGGATTATCATTTGTTGTTCACCTAGGATTTGCGCGAACCCGAACACATAAAATAAAGTTGTTAGTAATTTATTTATCTAGTCTCTTTTCATTCTCTATTTTTGAGACGTTTGAAATCATGTATCATTATTCAATATTCACATATAATTTAAACTTCTTTGCATGACACGAACAACTATTTACGATTGACTGATGTTATCAATCTACTGTACTAAGTTAAGTGTCTTCAATGTATATACGTAAAAGAACATGGTTTAATTACATGTTTTATAAATGCATAATAATATTGTGAAACTCACTAGGGTGCAAGCAAATTCCAGGTAATCGACAAGTGTTTACATGTATTTAGAGATGATTTATTCATATAAATAATAATTGAGTGTAATTGGTGAATATTATAAGTATACTCAACTAGTCTTCACTAGAACATAGCTGGAAGATGAATGATTACATGTAATATTGTGTACTTGTAATAATATGATGGAATTGGCTAGAGTCCACGCGAACCTCAGATAGTCGTGTCAGGATGCATAATCGTTTTTCAATTGCAGTTTTGAGTATTCATATGGTTATAGTTAGTATTATTAGTTGATCTGGAAAATTCTTAATGATTTATCATAAAAACGATGATAAGCATAATTATTTTAGTCATTATCAACTTCGAACACTTTTTTTTTTTCGTCGGTTATTCGTAAATTTCATCGTTAATTTGATTCAGTATGTACTAATGTTAAATTTGTCGAAATTTTTCAAAACTTGATTAATTAACGTAACTGAAGTACTAATCAAGATAGTTGTATTGGCAAAAAAAAATCCTTTCTTCATATTGTATTGAAATAATGAGATTTCATATCGAACATCACAGTAACAATCTTGAATATTTGCTATAGAAAAAATAATTGGAATACTTTTCATATTTCAAAGTAACGAATTTTTTCGACTAACCTACGTGTATGAATTAACAAATGAAATTTCTCAACTGATTAATCACTTGTGAGTTGAGACATTGCGCTTCATGCAGACTCTAATGAACTATGAATGTACTACAAAGAGTTCGAGCTCTTAGCTTATTGCTGTTTTTTTACGGTGCCTTTTTATTCCATATCACGGTCTCCCTTCGAAACACCAGAAAAAATCATTTTCAAAGTTTCAAGAATTTTCGTTGTTTCTATCCTAAGATAAAACCTGAAACTTTCACAATGAACTATTCTCATTAAGATTTGTGTCTATGCAAAGTTTCAAGTCAAAATTCGAAAATGAATTTTCATAGTATTTTGAAGGAAGACCATACTATTAACCTAAAACAAAACACCGTAAAAATGCAATCAACTAAGGATCCGAAATTTTTTTAGTGTATTTATAGTTCATTAGCGTAATATCATTCTATATTTTTGATTATAATAATTCTCTGTAAATACTTTAAATGAGAATTTTTTTATCGATTGAAAATGTAAAAAGTTTACGATTTATTCAATTTCTAAAATAATCAAGCGTATCAATCAACATCAACATTACTATATATATATAAACAAAGAGTTCGACTTTGGTGTTTAATCCTTTCTCTCCTTTCGATAGAAACAAATACGAAAAAAAAAAAGAAAAGAAGTTCTACGTTCGTGTAAAAATAAACTAGTAAAATTAGAATTCCTCGTTGTTTGTCACACAAAAGAAAAAGATCAATTTTTCTATAATAAAATCATAGATATTTTTATTTTTTTTCTTATATGAAGTTTTTTTTTTGATATTGTTGGATAATAACTGGTGATGATAATTTAGATGGTTGAGGATTTTCAGCAATATTAAGTATTCTTTCATAAAGTGCAACTGTTTCAGGTGATAAACCAGCATTTAAAAGACGATTTTCTAATGCTCTATCATGTTTAGTAACTAATTTTTGATTATGTGTTGGAGTTACAACAGGTAATGTTAGACGTATTGGAATACGAGAATATTTTGTTGAAAGATGTGGTAATTCATTGAGAGAATTTGATGTTACATTATACCATTTTGCATTTGAATTGACTGTTAATGAAAAAGTTTGTCCTGAATCATTTGAAATATTGATTAGATTTGGTACAGTCAAAGAATCATCAGTATTATTAACAGTTGATATTGATAATGGTAGTGATTGATTTTGACAGTTTGAAGAATTCTAAAACAACAAAAAAAAATATTTGATTCAACCTTAGATTAAAATAGACTTACCATTTGTATTAAAGAATTGATATTTGTTGTTGATGTTGTATCTGATACTGTTGATTGTAGTATCGTTGAATCATAAGAACGCTTTGTTACAAGTGAATTGGTAGTAGTTGAAGGTAATTGATATGATACTTTCGTTAGATTTGATGATGATATTGATGGATTTTTTTCATGAGAAAGTTGAACATATGAAGCTATATCTTGTTGTTGTGGAGAATTATTAGGTCTTCCATTGACAATCAATGGTGCTTGTGATGTAATAGAAACTGATTGTTGATTATAACCTACCAATTTATGAAAAGGCCGAAATGCACTACGACTTCCACCTCCTGGTAATAATGTTGCATTTGGATGATTCACTGTTTCATTAGTCAATTGTTTAGAAGAAGAATTAATATTTGAAAAATTTGAGTTCATTGTTAAATTTCTTTTATTTTCATTATTAATCAATGGAATTTGAAGTGATGAGACAAATGTTTTTGAACCTGAATTAGTTGATAATTGAATAGATGCAATAGACGATTCATTAGTAGAAGAGAAAGATGTTTGTGATGAAGCTGAACTTAAACGATTATTATTAACATTTTGTTGTTGTTGAGAATGTTGTACAAGCGTGGCAGGAGAATTAAGACTTATATTAGGACTATTGACAACTGTTGATATTGATGATTGTAAGGATGCAGGTGGCAATCGTTCAATGGCGCCTAAAACAAAACAAAAAAAAAAAGAAAAATTTATAAAATCGAATTTATTTAAATTATAGTTGTTGTATTCGAAAGTTTTGAAATTGTAAAATAAATAAAAATATAAAATTAACCTCGACGAATATCTTGCACTGTAAGTACAGTATCAATAGACGATTTTGACATTGAATGAGCTATTGTTGATCGTTCAGAGTCGTCTGATGATGAAGATATTGTTGGTGTTATTCCAGCTTGATTTAAATCATCAGCTGTAATAATTGTTATAACTAATGGAGCTTTTGATTGATGATGTTTCCTATGAAAATTTGTATTTAATATTTGTTGATAATTTGAATTAGATATATTATTTGATGATAAATTATTTTGAGAAGAATCCAATATTTTTCTTCTATTCATTATCATCGCTGTTGTTTTTGTTGATGCTGGATGTATAAAACGTTTTGAACCATCTCGAAATCGAACTTCTATAGGAGGTTTTTGTTGATTTTCAAGTGTTCGTTGTCGTTGAATATCAACTGTTGGTATTGAACGAGCACTAATGAGACCACCAAAAGTCTCATTTATACATGGATGATTGTTTAGTTGACGTCCAATATCAACGTTAGATGCAATAAAACTACCTGACTCCTCATAAATTGTTTCTAGAGGAGCAATAGGTTGATTTTTTATTAACATTGTTATAGATATCTATTGAATAAATTTTTAATTCAATAGATTATCGATAATTATCGTCAGTTAATAATATATTTGCTTGATACATTGTATATCATCATTCTTCTCTATTAGATTTTGAAATTTATTCCTTGCCTAAATATGAATGGTCATTCATTGATTACTTTTTGTTTTATATCGTTAATGGCTTTTAATAATCGTTTTGTCACCGATGTCAATGTGTTGATATTAATATGAAGACTGAAATAAAGAAAAAAAAACAAAATGATATTTAATGAAAAGTTAAATTGATATAGGATATCAAAAAATTTTCGAACATAACTATTCTTTCTATCAAGAAGTCAAATGCACGTTTATAGAATATAAGAGAAAGAAAAAAGGGCTGTTCATTTCTCTTTGTCTCTTCAATGTTTCATATATATTTAAACAAAAGAATACAATACGGCATATCAAAAGCCTACATTCTTCTTCTAATAGACACTTCTCCCGTCAACTATAACAAACGTTGAACATGATAATACAGCAAAAAAAGAAACCTAGACACAAGAATACTATAATTACAACTTGTCCTTATTCACGATTTACCTTCAAATAAGTGTGAGATAGACATATTCTGTATTGAAATAGGTCTCGTGTGTCTCACCACCTCCTTTTTTTTATTCTCATATGCATACTATCATTGTCATTAATATGAATGACTAGATGAGTATCTATGTAACGAAAGAACACATATAGAGAACAATGATTTGAAGTATACTCTTGTTAAAAACAACGGAGCTTGTCAATTTATTCCAAGCGTATTCTTCTATTCAAAGTAGATATATGTATATATACCTCTTAAATACTACTCATGACAAAAAAAATCTTGATTAACGTCTCTATCCTTTTTTTCTTATTGTTACAACACGCTTCTTTTTTGCTTTCATGGTCAAACGCATAGTAGAAAACGATGACTCTTACTTGAGTATAATATGCTATGATTGCACCATTAAACATGGTTATATACGCGAAATATGAAGAAAAAAAGTAACGTTCTGTTTTTGCAATATCAATTATTCATCCATGTTTTAAATATAAAACTCACAGCAGTTAACCGTATGGCAATGAGAACGATAATGACACGTTTTCAAGTTCTCTCTTTTTCTCACTTTTTTTTTAATTGTATGACATGGTTTATTTCAAGTCTTACTTACTTTATATTAGATTGATCATATGAAACATTCTTTTTTTTTTCTATATTACATTGAGTAATTGATACCAATATAATTAAAACAAATTTTTTTGTAGAACTCACATATATTTTCGAATTAAATAATGAAAATTTTAAGTCGAAGTTTTATGACTCCCTATTACAGATTTTATACTTCTTTAACATCAGAAAAAAGGCGCTAAACGCATTAATAACAAGACTTCAATTGTTGTTCGTTAAAATTTGAATAGCTAAAATATGATTATGAATATTCTAAATAGTGCAGTCTTTGATTGTTGCATAGATAAAATTTTATATTCAAAACGTCAAGGATGATGAGTAGTCACGCATTAATTTGCTACAATCATCATATAATCAACATAAAAAGCGTGCATCGATCATATTACAATTTAAAAAAATAATCAATATTAGTGTGTTTAAACTTATCGAGATATACATATGATAGTGCGTTGAAACCTGCTGTAGATGCAATATATGTGTAAAAAAAAAAGACTTGTCTGTCAATTCAATCAATGGTTAAAATCATAATTAAGAAAAATATAATACGAAAAAGGAAAACGACGAGTAAATAACAACGTCAGTACATAAAATAGAAAAAAAATAATTTCTGTTCGAAATAAATGAGAGATTATTTCTTTTGCTTATCGATTGTCCTTGAAAAATAACTATAGTCTGCTAGAAATTTTTCGTGTTACACATTTTGTATTAATATAATGAGAGCAAAAGAATATATATGAGTTTCATGCAGTTTGTAATTTGATAAATTGTTTATACTCGTTCTTCTTTACGCCATTTATCTCTACAATTTTGAAACCATATCTGAAATATGTAGATATATAATTATTCACTTTTGTACACTTTTCAAGGGCAATTATTTCTTATTCATGAAGAAAGTAGTATACTCAATAATATAAAACGAAAAATGGAAAGTATAATATTTGTAAAACAAATATATCTTACATGTAAATGTGCTTCAGCTAAATCAATACGATGTGACATTTCATCATGTAAACAAATATCAGGATAATTAGTCTAGAAATAGATTGAAGTAAATAAAAATAATAAACAAAATAATGTGTGAGCAAGATGAGACAATGCATCTAATCGTAATACAGAAATTAAATTCCTCTCTAAAAATTTATTTAGAACGTAAGAAGAAAATTTTATTTGTATTTTTTTTTCCTCCTTTACTTAATCGTCATCATATCTATATTTAATTTCAACAATAATCAATGCTTTCTTAACTTCATATAAATTCATTTATGTAGTTGAAGAAAAAAATTTAATAAATTAAAATTTTTTATTTACTTATTGAAAAGATTTTTTAAGTTTTTGTAATTGTAAACTAGTAAATACTATTCGTATATGTCTTTATTTTCATTTATTATGTAATAGAAATACTATTAGTACTGATGTTGTAGAAAAAAAAAATGATGAAGAATAGAAATCATTTTGTTGTGTATTAAACATATTAAAGGATGATTGAAGATCTAAAATTTTGATTTTGATTTAAATCTAATTTCAACACAGAAAAGAATAGTAATTACTATGTATTGAACAAAAAACTTGTCTCATATCGAAACATTCTTTACGATGTACGAGACAATTGATGATAAGATGTAGAAACTACTGTCAATAAATTTGTTGATGATTGATGTGAATAGAAATCTGTATATGGATTATAAATAGTAGTATCGATGACAAATAACTTTAATATGAATTATAATGATCCATACGTTCGTTATGGTTAAATGAACTTCTATTCATTCATTTTAGTTTCTTTATCATGATTACATAGAACGAAAGAACATAGTAGCCATCATTATCGAATTAAAGAAAGAACAAAACAAAAGTATTGAGTTCTTTCTAGAGACAAGATAATACAAAGGTGTTGAAAAGACTTAAATGATACGTTTGTGGTTTTGTTTTAGTTTGTTGTCATCAATTGTTTATAACATATATTCGATGAATAGAAAACAAAAGTTTTTTAAAAACGTAACTCAATGTGTATGAACATGTTTTCCATGATCAGCTGTAATCGATATGATGTTTCGTCGATCATTTTTTTTTTCATTTCAAAAATGTATTCGATTGTTTTGTAATTTCTCTTGCTAATTGGAGTGAATGTATCAAATACTTTTCACGAACCTTGGCTTTTAGTACACGCCATAATTTTCAATTATTTCCAGACATCATCAAATTGAGCCTTGTCTCCTATTGATTCTGTATGTTTATGTAATAATTGTGCTCTGAATCATGCAAACAATACTTCATGTTGTTTTATGACCTTCTAAAATTCAATACAAAACATTAAAAAACGATCTCTGATGTTTTCACAATTGATGGGTATTGAAGATAAAATCTGAAAGATTCTAGATATAAATGTATTCGTGTATAGTTAGAATAGTTCTTAGTCATTCTATGACGCTAAGTTTTGAAAAAATTATAAAAATCAAGTACAAAACTTCGTGTATTTCAACCTTGTCCATGCATTTTCGTACTAGCTTTCGCTAGAAAATTGAAACTTTAGAAACTTAAAGGTCGTGGTTAGATATATATTTATGATAAAAATTTCAACCTTCTATGTCAAGAAAAAGTATGAACAATGTCATGGACAATTTACCGTCAATTATTTTATGAGACAAACTTTATAGGTTTGATTATCAATCCTTCGTTTATTTCATTGTATAGAATGTCTTAGGAAAAATGAGTCTCTCAATATTTCAATTATATTTCTTTTAATTCTCTACAAAGTAGTATATTATTTTTATGAATTTAAATAACATTAATTATTTTCTATAACAAGCTTCAAAAGAACAGTTCAATAGAAATGTTTTTATAAAACAACTTTTTGTTGAATCTATATGATTTCATATTTTAATTCTTTACTAAAAGTCTCTTTTGATGTTATTTTTCCCATTTGGTATCATAACCAAAATCATCTCAAATTTGTGTTAATGGAATGATATAAAGTTTCGCATTGTCCGAATGAAATCTTCAATCTATTCCGAAGATTTCATATCGATATTTTATTGGTACTTGCATAGTACTATATACTTATTAAGCGCGATATGTCCCGTGATCACAAGTGATCATCAATGTCAGATAGGAGATTTAATCAGGACAATGCGAAACTTCGTATCACTCAATTAACACAATAATTATGGTTGAACAATTTTTCCTCTTTACGTACTGAATGGGAAAATGTAGCATTGAAAGATATTCTTATTGAAGAACTAAAACATGAAGTCATAAAAATTCGACAAAAATTTGTTTTACAAAAATGGTTATTATGGAAAATAATCAATGTTATTTAGATTCACAAAAAAAAACCATACCGTTTTCTAGAGAATTAACTTATGTTGGTCTACTTTTTGTTTAGAAGAATCAAAATAGAATAGATAAAATCTATGTCTAGTCTCCACATATATTTATTGTTACATTCAATATCTAACTTCTATTGATACTTTATTTTATAAACTGTTTTTCTTTTCAAGATTTCCTTTTGGTATTTGTTTTTTCTATCATATCTTTCATTCTACATAGTAATATTTTCAGATAAAATTGAACTATATTCGTGTTATTTCAGATCTGATTGATAGTCTTCAATACAAAGATAATACATGTTTATTAACACTATTCAATCTTTTAGAGAAAGATAATCAAAATACGATGCTTTGATGAGACTAGCAAAAGTTTTTAAACGGTCCGCCTCCATGGTCGAGTCATGATCGTTTTACTGAATTTTCACACTCAGCTTTAGATATATATCGAAAAATCAAAAAAGCAAAATTTCAATGTAAAATTTTGTTCATAGATTGATCGAATAATTCATAGAATATCCTGAAAATTTCAGCCGAAAATAATCTTTGTTTTTTTCTGTCTAAATAGTGAATTTTCAAGTGAACTCGACTTTTATATCATGTCTGTGGCAAATAATTATTTTTTGGAAATTTGATATTTTAGACTTTCAGAGCATTCTATAGGTCATTCAACCCATCTATGAGTAAAATTTCATATCGGAATCCTATTTCTTTTTTTTTTTTGGATTTTTCGATGTGTATCTAAAGCTAGCTCGAAAATTCAGCTTGAAAGACCTATAAGGATGAACCTTTTTAGTTCTTTTCTAGTCTTACCGAGAACACATTGTAAGTCCATTATGAGTTCAAACGTCGGACATTGGTTTGTGTAATTTCCTTTGTCAGTTGATCTTACATATGTACTCAAAATTATGACTCAGTGTGATGATTACAGATTACTTCGAATCACAACCGATTATGAATGAAAAGTGTGAGATAAATTTCTCTCATTGATTTATTTAACCAATGAATGTCCCATATATTTTATTTTGATTAATATCATAGATAAGATTATTCATCATGATACAATAGAATATGTTAGTATAGATCTGAATCTCGTACATCTTAACTTATAATATTTAACTCGATAGAAGATTTTAATGTCGGTCAATTATTTGACATACAATCTAATTTGATATTAAAGATAAGTTTTGATCGATCAAAATGAGTTTTGAAAACAATCCAATTCTTATCTCATGTTATCTTATGTGAAATTCAAGATCGATCAATTTATTATGATCTGATATTGCTTGTTCACATTAGATTATGTTCAAGAGTTAATTAATGAATTCTATCACTTGAATCAAATCAAGCTGTTGTTTATAATTCAAATTTTATCATTATTCAATATTTAGAAATAATCCGAATTCTAATAAATTTTCTGAAATACTTTTTTTTTCCTTTTAGTATCATTTATTTTTCTTTCTTTTTTTGTTATAATTAACTTGGTAATAAAATTTGATTATCAGTAATCAAAATTTCATCTTTGTTTGGTTTTTCTTGTTTAATTTTTAATTTTCTTATAATTTGATTTTTAACTAGACGATAAAAAAGAACAATATTTAAAATTCCAATAGCTAAAGTAGCAATAACAGTAAATATATGTACAATTGGATTAAGACGATTTCGTTGAATATGTAATGCACGTAAACCAACAAAAACAATACCAAAACGAAATAATATAAATGTTATATAATTACTAATATCAATAAATATTTTAAGTAGATTATTATAATAAATTGATTTAAATATTGGTGAATACCAACGTAAAACTCGTCGAGCATGTAAAAAAAAACTATTAATTTCAATTGATAAACCATATATAGCATAACCAATATTACGTGTATAAAAAAGAACATGAATAAAAAATGCCATAACAACAATATGATGAAATAGAAATGCAATTGTTGATGATTTTGAATTTTGTATACAATTATTAAAATCATATAGAAAATATCCTGTACTAAATGAAATTAATGCATAATTAAAATGATTTGCATGTGATAATGGATCTTTAAACATTTCTGGTGCTCGTAAAACACATATGATTAATAATATTGAACAAATACCAGCATGAATACAACTAAGTAATATATTATATTTTAACCAATTTATTTCATCAATTTTATTTGGTACTATCATTTGATTAAGAATAGTAAAAAACCAATATGATGATAATATATACATAATCATCAATATAGGAGAAATTGGCTCATATGGAAAAAGATCCGATTCGTGAAAGTACATTTTTATGTATTCATGTTACTAGGTAAAATTTATTGGTAAATAAAGGAAGAAATATGTTTCTTCGTTCTTTTTAATACATAGCAACGGCATGAAATATAGACTGTGTCGTTAATTACCTGACGTTGCCTCGCTTTATACATTCTCTCTCTATATTTTTTTTGAGAATAGCTATCGTTTTAAGTTTTTGCTTCGTTTTTTTCTTATCGACGCAATAATGTGAATGTTAGAATTTAAATTCTATGAATTTATATTGTATGATTTTGATGATTTAGATATTAGACTTTGTTTTTCTTCGTATAGAATTACAATATGTGATCTTTTGTGAGAAATATATAGTGATGAATTAAAAATATGGCATACATATTTTTTTATGATATGTTTCATACTCTCAGTCAAGTAGTAAACTTTTAAAAACATAAATATTTGCTAGAAATATTAAGAAATTCTCGTTTTCTTGCAAAGTATGCTTCAGTTTTTTTTGGATGAACACACAAGTAATTTGAAATTTTTTCTATGATTTTGTAAAAATATAGGATAGCAGAACACATACGAATGTGCTTGTGATAATCTTGAGTATTCATTGATATCTAGAGAAGAACTTTTTACACACAGACGGAGGTCTCGCCAAGACTAATTTAATAGCATTTGCGAAGTTTTCTAACTTCTAATACGTCTTTTACATTGATTTCTCTAGAGGAATGTTCTATTTCGGGAAGTGATTTAATTTTGAATACAAATCGTTCAATAATGAAAGATCTTTTTCTGTATAACAAATTGTGTAAAGTTAAACAATTTAAAACTCATACATATTAATATGATTCTTTTTTCAATATTCTGATTGATTGGCTTCAACAAAATATTTAGCGATCAGTAGAATCCTTTCCAATAAAAAGTGAGCTATGTGTCACATTCAATACATGAATAGACGACTGACTAATTATTAAATTCTATGAATATATTCTATTCTTAGATTGTTTCCATTTATTGCCTAGTGTACGATAAAACAGTGTTTCACATAATGAATTCACTGCTTTTTGAACTGATGAGGAAATTTTTCCAATTTATAACTTTTGTGCAGATTCATATTTTGCTGATTGTTAGAGTCTGTTGTTTAGATGAAGGTTCTAAGAGGATATGTGCCATTAGCATTTTTCTCCTTGGAGTTATAATCATTTTACCGAATTTTCATTCAATTGCAGGATATTACGAGGAAAACTGAATCATGAAATTTTATTCGGATATAGATCCTATAATCCTTATAATATTCTGAAAGTTTCAGCAAAACTAGATGGTTTCTTTTTAAGATATTATACACTTAAAAAATATCGAATTTTTTCGAATCGTTTACCAGAAACCATTGTTTTTGCAACTCTGTTATCTGATGACAGAAACATCCTTTTTCACTGAAACTCTCAGAATATTATAAAGACTAAGAATTCAGTAAAATCATCAGAATTCAAGAAGAAAGTGCTAATGGCATGTATTCTCGTAGGACTTTTATTTGTATAATCATTCCTTACAATCATCAAAATAGGAGCTCGAATGGAGTTTGTCAGTTGGAAGAAATCTCACGTGAGACAGAACTAAATGGATAGCTTAGAAGAGCATATCCTGTTCTTTGAAAAGCTTTGATGCATCATAGACGATTAGATTTTCAATTCTAATAACGAATTTAGTGAGAAACCAGTAGTGAACAATAATTATTACTGAATTAAAGAAGAGTTTTTTAATTGAATCAAAAGAGAGCTATAGCTCTGAAGAGTCACGTTTCCCTTTCAGCTGATCGCCTGCTTTCAGTGATTGAAAGAAAACAAACTATTTCATCATTTCTCTAATGAGCAGTTTTTTTTCCAATGAATTTGTCAACAAATAACATATAAATTAATCGGATGATGCAAATAAACTTTAGTTAAATTCTTTACATCCTTCATTATAGCCGTCTTTCATCTAAGCCTGATTCAAATTTCCAATAATACTATAGAATATTAATTAAACTATATATGTTTCAGCGGTGTTTAAAATATAGTATTTTTAAAAAAACTTACGAAAGAAAAAAAAAGAGAAAAGTCAATATCATATCATAACAACGACTAAATCTTCACCACGCAATATACGGAAAAAAAAGAAAGCATTAATACATTCAACAACAACAAAAAAAAAATAGAATTCAATAATCTTTAGAAATAAAAAAAGAAAAACATTAGAAAAGTCTAATATCTAACAATTGTTCATTTTCATTATTTATTCCATTAACCGACATAGCTTCCAAAAGTTCTATCAAAAATAAGAAAATTTAAAAAAAAACAAAAGAAAACTCGAAAATAAATTTTTCTCTTACCAAAATAAAACGGAGTAAAATGAAGTTGCTTTGTACATTCATCAATACGAATTAATGATGGATTAAAATGTGATTGATCTTGTTCTGGTAGTATTTGTTGTTGTAATGGTTGTACAATAGGCTTAAAACGTAATGGTGGTGAATCACCATCAATTTCACTATCTTCACTTGTTGCTGGTGGTGATGCTGGTAAACCCATACATTCATGAATTAAACGCATAACAGTTGTACGATCATAATCTCGTGGACGTACTGATAATGGAATACTAGAAAGAAAAAAAAACACAATGGTTGTTTTTTTGTTAAATCAATAAAAGAACCAGTCGAACCATCGGAAAAAACTATTGATACGTTGTTCAATAGTGATATCAGACATTTGTGGATTAAGTTTAAGTAATTGAAGAATTTTGTGTCTGAAAAACAAAATAGACTAGAATTTGTTTTGTATTCATGTAAATTATATTCACTTACACAAGAAAAACTTCAATACCACCTTCACTTGTTATTGTATCAACATGTAAACGTCGAAAACCAAGACGTCGATTATGTAAATATTGTCGAATAAGTGAAGCATCATGTCGAGTAAATATATATGCTGTTAATTCACCTTCCCCCCATGGGCGTGATAACGATGGTTCACGAACTACAATCACACCTAAAATCTATAATGAAAATAAATTTCTTATTTTCATTAATTAGAAAAATAACTAAATAACTAACACGAGCACCATGAATTTCACGAGTTAATAATGTTTCCCATTCATGTGGTTGCATCATATGATCAAGATTATGTATAGCTAACATGACTAATGTAGAACCTCTATTTGAAAGTCTATGGAAAAAAAAAGATTTATTTTACAAAAATAAAACCAAGAAAAAATAAAATTTACTCATCATGTTCATCTTCACTGTATTGTGAATACGATGTGATATCTATTAAATAATTCAATGCTATATAGAAAAATTAGTTTTAATTGAAAAAACTTACTATTTCGTTTTCGTCCATACATTGTTATGTTTACTACTGTTTCTATTGTCGTTATTCGTATGCCCTTGCAACCTTAGTTGAATTCTATGAACGAATAAAATATATTCTGTGATTCGTTCTATCTATTCATCTCTCTCTCTCTCTCTCTTTTTCACTTTATCTATATTACACGTGGTATACACTTCAGTTAGTGATCGTAACTATCATATGATTCATCAAAATTCATTTTCTCTTTACTATTATTTCAAATATCTTTATTTTCTCCATATCACAAACATATAAACAAATACTATACAAATAATAATACAATAATATAAAAAACGAGAAGAAAAAAAAACAAAGATTATTTATTTCTTATGCGTTTAAGTTCTTCTTGTAATTGACGAATTTCATCTTCAAATACTTGTTGTTCTTTACATTTAATATGATGTTCAGAAAGTAATTGTTTAAAAAAAGCCATCGGTGTCATTTTATTGTTATTATTATCATTATTTTCATCGGTTATTTCCATAGTTAATAAATCAATATAACAATCTAATAATACATCTGTTATACCCCAATGATCCATATATGATTGAAAAAATTCTTGTCGATCCATAAATATATATAATATATATTTTTATTCTATCTAAAATAAAGTAGAAATTCATTTTTTTTCTTATTTATTTTGTAATAATAGCAAGTGTATAAGCAGCAGCACCATGTGCAAATCCTACACAAAAAAATCCTAATAATGGAATTGAAAACAGGAATATATATGGAAATGCAAATGCAAGTAAAAGAAAATAATTTTCACGTAAAAAATGTGTTATTTTTCTATGTGGTAATGCTAATTCACTTGATGATGTATCAATATTAGAATTAATTCGCCAATTTAATAATGGATGAAATAATCTTGGAACAAGGAAACCTAAAAATTGATAATTTGATGGTGGAGGATGTGTATTAATAGTTATTGGTTGATGATTTTTTAATGTATGTGTATGTATACGTGATAAATATGTATCAAATAATTCTCGAGCTAAAGCTGTACTTGCCATTTGTAAATATAATAATGATATTGTATATGATTGAAGTGATTTAAATATTGTTAATAGAAAAAGTAGAATGAAAAATATTGTACGTAAATAAACATGTTTTGTATTTGTTATTGTATAACGTGCATATTTCAATACCCAAAGAGCTGGTATAAGTTGACCTAAATATGGTATTGAACGAAGAAAATGAACACATGTTACAGTAGCAAATATTAATAAGGCACGACGAGCAAAGAAATATAATGAACTTGTAAATGATTGACGTGCACGAGAATTAAGACGTTCGGCTAATGATGGATTAACAGAAGCAAGAACAGAAAAGAATAATTTATCATATCCTATTGAAGAAACAAAATAATTATTAATTGTATAAAAAATATATATATTTATTAAAAAATATCTAGACTAGAAATCATTTTATGTACCTAATAAATTGTTCATAACAAATACAGCAAGAAGTGGTATAAATGACAAAAGTTTAAATAGAAGTGTTCGTGCTGATGAAACATGTTCTAACCATTCTATTACTGATGGTGCAAATTTATAAGCAAATGAAATAAGCCAAATGATCAAACGAAATGGTAGAAAGGCAATAACAAGTGTAGTATAGATAATAATTGTACAAACAAGAAGAGATAGAAGTGAACGTTTTTGTGTTTGCCATACATCTGAAATTTCTTATTCTTTTTCTGAGTTTAATATTTATAGAAAAATCATCACTTACAAGTATTATTCCATGAAAGAATAAAACCTCGTATAGCACATGAAAAACCAAGCCATATTTGGTAGACAATCTGCTTGACAAATTTTTCTGGTGATAATGTCTCACACGACGTCATTGCTTGCAATGTGGTCGACTGCCTGACGAAGAAACAAAACGATATAAAAATGAAAAGCATACGAAAAGAAAAAGAAGAACAAGAAAAAAAACAGAGAAAAAGAAAAAGCATTTATTCAAGTATACATTATTCAGTCCATAGGTCAATCTTTAAATCTTAAAAATTATACTATATAACTTCGGTATTCCAATAATAAGAAGAGTTTAAAAAAAAATTTTAAGTTAAGTATAATTAAAACTATTAGCATTTTTGAAAAACTTATTATTATCATAGCTGTATATTTGTGTATTAATCATTCACAACGAAAAGAAAGCAAATTTTATTTGAGAGGACGTCCGTTTTTATGTTCTTGTTAATATAAGAAATTAAATGATTCAAATACTTGATGATTTAATCGAAGAACTTATGTCTATCGTTAAAATTTAGTAACACAATTAATATATAATACTTGAGAATATTTGTTTCAAGACACAATTTATTCTGTGTACAAACATAAAAAAATAAGGTTTGTGCATCTAGCTTTTTCTGAAATAAATATTATTGGACTGCATGATGATTAAATGTAGAAAAAAAAGAAACGAAAGCATATGGTGTTCTTGTTAAATGATGAATCATACTTGTTTGAAATATTATTATAAAAAAATTATAACTGAGTATCTCGCTACGATGATGAATCATCTAACGTAAACTTATGAACAATTATAAAAAGTAGAATCAATCGTAGCTGACTATTTTATACAGACATTGTAAATATTTACAAGAGAAAATTCTAGAAAAAAAAATTGGTTGTAGCTTGTTTCTAGCTATTATATAAAGGCTTAATACAGATGATACAAAAAAGTTCTGTATTAATTTTTTTTTCAATATAGTGTGACGACAATTCTTTATGGAGACTCGATAGTTTTCTTGTTCGAAAGAATAGGTGCTCTATTACAAATCTATGTAAAAATATTTAGTTCAAAATACTTATCGAAGGCTGAAAGTTTTAAGTATATGTTTGACTGAAAAAATGCCTTGTAACTTTATATAAAAATCAGTGATGAAATGTATATTTAATCAATATGTCTCGAACTAAACTTTCACAATTTTTAGGTACATCATGTGTGAGTCAAACAATAATTTGAAAGTTTTATTTTACCTATTTACAATGCTCTATTATAGAGCTAAGAAATCTGATAAAAGACGGAAAATAAGACCAAAACTTTCTTCATAGACGGCGATTTTCTTCTAAATTTCAGAAATATGCAGAGAAATTTTTAGCCTTCGATGAATATTTTGAACTAAATATTTTTACATAGCTTTGTGGTAGAGACTTTACTCTTATTACGCAGATCACATAAGTGACAAGAAATTGTAGCATGCATTTCTATTGTATAATTAAGATTACTCTTTCACGAATGTAGTCACATGAAGACGCAAATTATTTGTATTAGATAAGCTCTTTTTACATATATTTCTACTTGATTGTATATTACAAATTATTAGCCAATCATGAATCACAAGTAGTGGTACATGGAACATTTAGGACATTTGAAATATTAAAATTGCAGCATATTTCAAGTCAACAGTTATTTTTATTATCTGTATCTATTAATATTATCCAAAAATATCGAGTATTTCTCAGAAATCCATATAATTCTACATTTACGCAAATATTTAACCACTATTCATAACCGTAGTTTGTTGACTTATGTCAATATATATTTAACTTGACATAATCGTTCAATAAAATTATATGAATAACTTTCAAAACAAATAAATCCAACGTTCTCTGATGATTATAATGGTATCCCAGTGAAAAATATTTATCAAAAAAAATAGTAAAGAACACGTTTCACTTTCGTAGAAAACTTTTTTTTAAGAAAAAAAAACGCTCTACATAAAAAGTGGAATGCGTTCTCACCCTTAAGAAACGTTTTCTTTTCTTTAAAAAAAAGGGCTTTCACGTTCGTGGAAGGCGTTCTTCACTATTACAGTTTAAAATGATGAAAAACGCGATCCAAGATCAGCTTTCCTTATGAGAATCCTCGAGGAGTTCCAAATGATTGACAAAACCTCCACGGAACATTTGAAAAGCTAGGCAAAAACAAAAATGAGAAATCCTTGTAGATTGCCTAGGACCTGGAGCTTCGTAGCCCCTAAGCAATCTACAAGGATTTCTCATTTTTGTTTTTGCCTAGCTTTTCAAATGTTCCTTGAAGGTTTTGTCAATCATTTGGAACTTCTCGGGGATTCTCATAGGAAAAACTGATCTAAGTTGCATTTTTCAACGAAAGAATGTGAGAAGGGTTTTATTAGATTTCTACACCCATACAGAAACCCTTAACAAAGATAAACCGGGACACTGTTAAATCTACCAATAAAATTTATACACCTTAACTAAGAAGCATATCCTTATCTAAAACAAATTCAATAGAGAAAATATTTCTCTACCTACTTAACCTGAAGTCATGGATCACTGTCTATAATTAAACCCCGCGAAACAAAACTGACTGCTTCTATTAAGATGGAATAAAAACTAAAGGGAACTATCTCTAACTCTACTAGATGGAAAAATGATTGTTTTTAATAGAATGGAATGAAAAATAAGAAAAATTATCTATATCTCCGCTAGATGAAAAAAAAATGATTTTTCTGATTAAAATGCAATAAAACTAGACGAATCTTAACTCAATCTTTACCATATAAAAAATGATTCTTTTTATTAAGATGGAAAATAAGGAAAGGAAAACTAACTCTAACTATATTGGATGAAAAAAAAATGATTTTTCTGATTAAGATCAAATAAAACTAAAGAAACATTAACTTTATCTCTATTGAATGAGAAAAAAAATGACTATTTGTATTAAGATCGAATAAAACTACAGGTAAACTAACTCTATCTCTACTAGGTAAAATAAACGACTACTTCTTTTACGATAGAATAAAAGCAAAAAAAAAGCTAATGGCAAAGTATACTAATTCGCCAATTATTTTATTTAGTTTTATTCAAAAACAATAGTGAATCTTTTTACCTATACATAACGTAATTACCAACACAAAATGATAGAAAGTGGGAAATATGTACAAAATTATTCTTTTCTTTTCTTTTTCTATTCTGACTATTGATAAACATTGCAATGCGATCGAACTATTATCTCCTTCTTTCATTGCAATGTGTATCAATAGTCAGAGCAGAACAAAAGAAAAGAACAGTTTTGTACATATTTTCCACTTTCTATCATTTTGTGTTGGTAATTACCTTATGTATAAGTGAAAAGTTTCACTATTGTTTTTGAATAAAACTAAATCAAATGATTGACGAATTAGTATACTTTACCATTAGTTTATTTTCTTATATCTCGTCGAATGATATAAATAAAGGAAAACTAACTTTAACTGTACCAGATGAAAAAATGACAATTACTATTAAGATCGCATAGAATTAGAATAACACTAATTCTATGTCTATTGGGTAGAAAATATGACTATTTCTATTAAGATGAAAAAAAATTAAAGAAAAACTAACTTTATCTCTACTAAGATGAAATAAAACTAAAGAAACACTAGTTTATCTCTATCGAATGAAAAAAATGATTTTTTTGATTAATATCGAAAATAACTGAAACGACACTAATTCTCTCTTTACTAGATAAAAGAAACGATTGTTTCTATTAAGATGTAATAAAACTAAATGGACAATACAATACAAATTGTGAGAAAAGCTTGTTAAGTTCATCAAAAAGAAGAATTGTTGTATACTCGTTTGCTGAACGACTCTGAATTTTTCTAGAATCCTTCTTATTGTTACACATTGCTTGTGTCTATTTTTATTGTTTTTATCAGTGTATTGTAAATAAGGCTGTCACGATATTGACAGCTAAAAGCTCAACGTTGAAAACAGATGTTGATAAAAGAACTAAGAGTTATGATAATAATTTTTTATGTAGAAAACAATGATAAAAAAAATTAATATATTTGAGAACACTGACGAATCCATTTTTAGCTAATCAATATTCTTTCTCAATATAACAGGATAATTTTATGTAGGTTATGAAACGGACGAGAAGGTGTTCTGTATTTTTAAAACTGATTTTTGAATTCACAAGAAAGCATTCGACAATTAGGAGAACGATTGAGAACACATTCTTTTCTCCCTAAGAATGGCGTTGGATTGTCTGAAACGCGTTCATCAGTTCGAAGAATCCATTCTCAAGTATTTCTTGAGAGAAGGTCAAAGAAAGCATTCTCATTTTGATAAAATCCGTTCCTGACCGTTCCAAAAATGAACCGTTGAGAAAGCTTTCCCTTCAGATGAAGAACGATTTTGAACCGAGACGAAACCATCTCACAAAAACGTGGAACGACAAAGAATGCGTTCCTTCAGATGCATAACTTATTCTTGTCGCTCACGAACGCATTCGCCAAACTATAGAACACATTCTTCATGGGAAAGGTAACTTTCCATGTTTTGCTGAATGCGTTTACTTCCGTTTTTTTTCCATGATTATTTTTCACTGGGATATGATATCTTTTTTTTTTTTGAAATGTCATCGTCATCAAGAACCATTTTGTTAAGACTGCCAAAAAATATACGACGAGAAAATCGATGTTTAGATGCTGATGATAATCTTATCATTGATTATTCAGACGAAAACTTTTTCGAAATAGCAGGTTCATATGTTGTCTGCCACAGATGTACATTGTGGTTGAAAATCACCATTACTATATTGGACTATCACTGTTGTTACTAATCCATGAGTAGGGATGACACGCTTACTTTCGTAAAGTAAATATATGAAAATATTTGCATATTCTTGTTTAGATAAGTATAGTATGTGTTTATGTGCTCGGAAATGATACTATCCATATTTATTTTTTTTGCTTAAATATATTCTTAAAACAATTTACTTTGCTATAAAGAAGGGAGTATTTACATTAGTTTTATATTAAGGTTTGGCTGTTCACTAAATCATTAATATTAAGTTAAGATTTTTCTACTGACGCTTATTTTACTTTAAATGACTAAGTAATTGAAGTGAGGTTAATATAATTTCATTTCGATTTTTTTCAGCTAGGAGAAGGTTATTTCAGGGAAAAATAGCTAAATCTTATAAAACTTGACAAAAGATTTTCAAGGTCGAGAAATTTGAATTCTTAACTGCTTTGTCGAACTTGTTGAAGGCAAAGATGAGAAGAGACCTTTAAAAAAAAACAATCAAACTTTTTAAAACTTGATTGAAGTGTTGGTAATAAACTTTACGTCATCGGAAAAAAATCAATCTTAAAAATTCTCAGAAAACATCTATCAATTCAGATTTCTTGACGAGGATAACCTATTGTCAACTTTATAAAATTCAGCTACTCTCTTGAAATAGTCCTCTCATGGTCGAAAAACTTTACATGAACCTCCTAATGTTAACCTCTACAAGTGTTAGCAGAAAAACTTAAAATTCACATGAACGAATTAACTGGTGCATGATGCTGGTTCTTTTGTATTAATATCAGTAGTTTAGCGACTAGTTAAAAGCTACTATAAATATAGGATGAATGGTCTCACCTTATATGCAAGATCAATTCTTCTAGGAGTATGATGGAATATAACAAGAGATACGGACTGGATTGTTTCTATACAAATAAATTATCATATATTCATTGAAACGGGAATATACCAACTAAATTTATATATTCATATTACAAAAGTGATTCGTAAATACTTTACTCATCTATTTACCAGTAAAGTAAAAGTAAAGCTCCACATCTATTTAAAAATATTGGTTTTCATTACAGCTTATTGGTACTTAATAAAACCGTAGCTTCTCATTTGCGAGCATAGATCACGATTCGAAATTGATTAAAATTTTTGATCATTATATGCAATTTCAAATGAAGTAGCTTGAAAAATTTCGACAATATTTTCTAAATTTTTTTTTTTGGAATATCTTACTTTTCGTAATGATCGAAAAAAAAAAACATGCCATAATACTTATTTTTATTTTCTTAAACTAAACAATGTATTTTGCTTTTTAAAGCTTCAAAGTTCATTAACTGTAATGTTAAATAAATTTTTTAATTAATATAATTAATGGTTCTCAATATTTTGTCTATTATAATGAAATTTAACTGTTGCTTGAAACGTTAGCTAACTTATATAAAAGATATTTTTCTTAAATAATAAAATTTGATTTTATTTACGATTATAGTTGCAACTGATAAAGATCCTTATGCAACACCGATCAAATATCTTTAATTTTGTTCTTCTGTTTAATCAATTTAATTAAAACGCGTTGTTCCTATTAAATGATCGAGTTGATCATCGAACTATCAGATCGATGAGCCTTGTTCGACATTGATTTATTATGTTATTTCAATCATACTTCTAAAATTAATATTTTACAATAAGAATTTACTTTGAATAACATTCTTTCCAGCTATCGTCAAATTGAGATAACATTCTCTATTACTAACAGGGTGAGTGTGGGATGTGGATATGATTAAAAGCAATCCTACACCCCCACACTCACAACCTGTTAGTTTTCTTGTTCGTTATGGCTTCAAATACAAATATCAACTTCGGATATGAAGATTATACAAAAGAAGTAGGATATATTACTCTTTATTAGTTTTCAGTCATAACGATGCGTAATATTTGTCTTCTAGTTTTGTAAGGTTGAGTTGAACCGTTCTGAATGTAACAAATTATTAAATAATTTACTTAAACAAGGTACTCAATCAATAAATGACGAAACCCTGTTTAACTTAGAGCTGACATATAGAACAAAACAATTGGACTATGTCGATGTGTATCTTGAATATTTGCTTTATCTCGAAGTAAAGTCCATTTTGATCGAAAGTGTTTTTTTCATTTGTAATATAATGATAAACACTTTATTTTTTTATAGATATGAGACTAAATTAAAGTTCATCTACAAATGAACAAATAAATAAAAAAGAAATCATACTTTTTTTGTTAAAACTATGTCATGTTCTTTCTCATTTTAACAAGTGTTATGATGAACATGATTAATAAGATTTTAAGAAAAATAAAAAATAAAATAAATTTAAATTTGAAATAAAAACAAACTTCATCTGTATTTAAATTATATTTTAAATATTCGGAGAAAATGAATGAAAGTATCTCGCAAAAGATAACTTACAATTGATACTAAGATTAAAATGGATTTCTTTTTCTGATTGCTTTTTTTGTGAAATATTTTGTTATAGTATGGATTTTACTTAAATTTTCAGAATCTCACAAGGACATATTAAAGTTCTTTTGAGATTTATCTAGTCTAATTGATATTCACTTCCAGTGATAATATTAATTTCGTAATTCGGAAGATGTCTTGAATGGTTTATTATCGTGATATCAAAAAATTCTTGCTAGATCATTAATTGTAAACTTCTTACCTATACTTTTCAATGGGTGCCGCTGTAGATGTGAGTGTGGGTGCGCATTTTTCTTACACGAACAACCTACGCTCATATCCACACATCCACACCCGTACAACCGCACCCCACTACATTCTCACCCATACATCCCGCGTCCAAATCCCATGCTCACACCCATACAACACCTATCTCATCACACACACCCAAACATTCACACTCTCGATACATCAGTGGCTAAGTAGTTAGATAGATAACGATTCACTTGATGAAAGTTGTTGATTTCATATACCTCAAACGCAACTGATAAGCTGTTTTTCTTTCTTTTTTGTAAAAAACAAAATAAATGTCGTCTCCGACTGCTGAAAATATTCATGAACCATTCATTCGAAAAGCTATTGAACTTTCATTGTCTGCATTCGAACATGGAAATTATCCATTTGGTGCTTGTCTTGTATCAAAAGATGGACAAGTATTATTGACGGCTGAAAATACAATGCGCACACCTTACAATGATGTCACTCGTCATGCTGAATTGAATCTAATTAGTATGGCTTCACAAAAATTTAGTCGAGACACTCTTGAACAATGTACATTATATAGTAGTTGTGAACCGTGTTTAATGTGTACAGGTGCTATATTTTGGAGTGGCATCCGACACATAGTCTTTGGTCTTTCAAATGAAACGTTAGGCGTAAGTATTCATCTGAAAAGTAAGAATTCAACGTTCGAATAAGTATCATCAAAACGAGAGATTTTAAGAAAAATAGTTTTATCTATTGTACCATTATAGAAGTAAGTTATTACATTAAATCATATTTTATTAGAAAATGAAGACTAAGATACTATTTATCTTTGTAAAATATCTTATAATGGATAAAAAACCAGCAATGACTATCTCTCAAATAATAAAATAATAAACTTACGAATGTTGTTTTTTTAAGAAATACTCAGGTGATGATGGCCGTTTATCTTGTCGAGAATTTTTACCAGCACCAAAATTCATTGTTATCGGTCCTATACTTGAAGACGAAGCTGTCAAAATTCATCAAACCTTTTGGTGTCAATTACATTAACATTTTTATCTGTGACAGTGTTTTTTCATTTAGATTTAAATGAACTAGTTGTTGTCTAAAGAGAATAAATAATTTGACGCGATAACACTAATGAACGTTTCTTGATCTACTTTTTTTTCTAGATTGTTGACTTCTTTCATTTATTTGTCTGACACTTGAGTTTATGTATAATCTTTACTATAGATCAACAAAGATATTTCATTTTGTTGTTCAAAGAGTAATTACAATAATAAAAGAAAATAAAATATTTCGCAGTCGTGCTATAAATTAGACATGTTTATCAACAAGACAAAAAAATGAGGGTGTGAATGTGGATAATATTGAAAAAAAGACTCACTCAGACCCACACAGAGGCCAAGATCTACCAACATCCACATCCACACCCTGCTGTGTTTCTTATCAAGCATGTGATTGATTCGGAATAGCTTCATACGAAATGAAAGCTCAGTCTATTGTCTTTCTTCACCCAAAGAATATGTTCATCTACCAGGATAATAATGTCTCCAGCACCTCGACACTAATGCAATGACCACTAATGTGTCATTTCTCTCCAATAGAGCATATGGTTCTGAAACTTTCAGGGAATAATACTACGCTATGAAGAAAACTTCTCTGAAAGTTTTAGGTCAATTCATTGAAGTACCACTGAGTTATAGATCTTCAAAGAAAATATATAAATTTTTGCAAACCAATGGTTATAGTAAAATCAGTATAGCTGTTGAACGAGTTGACGAACTTTCATGAAATTTGTATGGCAGATAGCTGGAGCATAGTGTCACATAATGATAGATTTGCTAACTTGAAATGACCTTTCCTTCCAAAGTTATGAAGCTCAAAGCAAAATTTGATACTATCCATCATAACTCTGTTTTCTTTTAAGTCGTTGGAGTACAAGTGATGCCACTGGCATATATTCTTAGTGAAGTATATGCACACAAATTTTCAGACCTCTAGCCATTATGTTGACTGAGATCGGATGGAGGAGAAAGACTTTTGTCCAGGGATGTATATTTCTTCAAAAGAATATAAAAAATATTTTTATTTCATTCATTTAAATTATAAATTTTATCAAACATAGTTTTATTAATAATGAGATAGAACATGAAATTTGACGGAGAAGAACAATCATCATTTTGTCTTTACGTCATCAACAGACAAACGTTAAATAGGAATATAAAATATCGATGCGATCATTTAATAAGAAAGATCTTTCTAACATATGCATGTTATTTAAAAACTATTTCTTCCAGTACTCAACGCTTTCAGCGAAAACTCGTGAATGAATACGTTTTCAGGACGACTTCTCAATGTGTAAGAGAACGAGAATGTTTTTCGGTAGAACATAAAAGAAACTTCCTTATCAAGCTCATTCTCTTTCCATTACCACCTACTAGAATGTCATGTGTTTGCACAGAAAAGTAAAAAGCAAAACAAGTAAAGAAAAATATCTGTTGTTTTTATAGCTTTATTTGTCATACAGGTGACGTGACCTGGCTTGTTAAATATATACGATCTTTTTAACGACAATTATTGTGAAGACTTTTAAATAAGCATGGCCAAAAATTCTCCAAGTTCATCTACGACAAATCTTCGTCCAATTAATCTTGCTTGGCTTGATGCACATGTATACGATGAAAATAACAAACAGCTTTTAGATGAACTACGTAAAATTTATCAGGTGTGTATGGAATTTGTAGAAGAAGATGAATGTAAAAGATTTCTTGGACGTGGAATAGCTGATCCAAGACGATTTATCCTTGTTGTCAGTGGTGCATTAGGTGAAACACTAGTACCTGAAATACATGAGCATTCAAATATTTTATCGATCTACGTTTATTGTTCATGGAGAGAGAAACATGAAAAATGGTCTCGATGTTACTCGAAAGTAGGATATCATTTATAATATTTTTATTTTTTTACCTTCACGTTGTGTATATAGGTCAAGGTCGTTATTAAACCTGATGAACTTATTTCTGGACTGAAATCAGATAAAAAATCTTATGAAAATGCATAAAATACTATTAATCAAAAGTTCTGATCAGAGCACCAGGATATTCAATAGTCACTCTGTTCAGATGTCAATAAGTTTTATGGTTCTAATAAATAAATAAAATAAAATTTGGTGAACAGTAACAGGATTCAACTTATAGTTAAATACATGTGACAAAGTAACATTATTTCGATTAACTAAATAAAAATTTATGATAAATACTAGAAATGTGCATTTTCGCAATGGGTTAAAATGAATATATACTGATTTCAAACATACTATAATTTTATCATTATTTGATAACGTCAATAGAAAGAACTTTTAATTTTGTAAAGGGCACAATAGAGTGTGGGTATGGGTGATTTTACACCCCGCTCAATAAACAAAAAGCGCCTTTATGTCAGAAGCCTAAAGCATCGGCATCGATGTACCGTAATCATGTTTTGTTTCTGTGCCCTAGTGCAACAATATTAAAGATTAGCTTGCTGAAGTAAATGCCAGAAATGACTCGGCACCCTGGTTCATTTTCAATCAAAGTGCCAATTCTAGTGTCATTCTTATGAATCGTTTACATTTTGACTTTATGAAGTCGTATTCAGATGCTCATATACAGTTACAAAAACTTTTTCGGGCACTTTAGAACCTGTAAAAATGAGTTTTTACTTAGAATTGTTCTGTATGTGAAGCCATTCGTTTGTAGACATGACATCTTCTTCATTCTAAGCAAATAATAGACTATGTACAGCTGTGTAAACAGTATTTTTCTTCACGAAGCTATGATTGAATACTGTTATCAATTCTTATTAAGCAATTTGAGAAAACAATCAGGATTATAAGATAAAAATCGATCGATTACTGTTCTATCCACTGACGATAGTGTGCGACTTGATACTCTTTTGTTCCACTGGTCGAAGTCGACCATTTCTTTTTGCTTTTGTCATTGTTACTAAGAAGAGCAAGAATACGAATGAAAATATTGATTGTATCGAGATAAATATCGATAGACTCATCGATGGACGATAATGTTCGAACATTCTGAGCTGTCTCAGCATTTGAAATCATCTTTTGTGTGTCGAATAAAAGAATACCAGAGAAGATTGCAAGGCCACCGTACACTGAAATATACTCCAATATTGGCAAGGTTCTGATCGTAGTATCTGGTAGAATTATTGGACTAATCGATGCCAAAAACGCCACACTGAGGCCAGCCACTAAAACTCACAAATTACTTAGTGAAAAGTTCAGTGAAAACTTACTTAATGGAGCTCCTAGCCAAAGATATTGTTCCCGTCGAGTGGTCATACTGACAGCACTGATTGAAATGACAACACCTGCACTCAAAAGA